TTCGTCCTGCAACTACCACAGCACAGAGGCTCACTCTCCGCTCTCTCTCTCTCTCTCCTTTTTTTTTTCCCCGTTTTCGTTTTTCCTTTTTGGGTAATCAGGCTCACTCTTCTTTTATGATGGGTATTGGGTAGGTGCAATTGAATGAAATGAAAGCAACGCATTCACAAGTGTGGCGATTATGGTAATCATGCCAATACTACATTTTACAATGTGGATGTGGGAACGGGAAAATAAAGTTCGTTTCTTAAAAGCATATTTAACAAAAGTTAATTTAAAAAAAATTAGTTATTATAATAAAATTTATATTTAAATATATTTTTTATAAATTAATTTAATAAACTGAAAGTTATTTAAATAATATATAATATAAAGTATTTTTAAATGAATAATTATTAAAAAGGACAAATTTTATAATATGCAGTTTTTGTTGTATTAAAGTTAATTTATTAAAAATATAAATAATACTCATTCTATTTAAAAATATATGGCATTTTTAACCGAATCTCACCCTCAATAAAGTAATTATCTATTTTCAAACTAACCCTATATTTTTAAATTTATTTCTATTAAATACCCTATGATATTTATTGGGGATGAAATTTGATTAAAAATACCTTATATTTTTTACAAAAGAAGTATGTTCTAATCTAACAGAACCTTGTTACATTAGAAGGTTAAGCTTTCTTTTTTTTTAAAAGGTCAGTTATTTCATACAATGTAAGCATATTCATTAAAGGTTAAAGGACACATTTATTCTAGAAGTTTTTTTTTTTCAAGTGCAACTAGCATTCTTAACTTTTAATTAATACAATTGTTATCATAAAATTTCAAAAATAATGTAATATCATCCTATAATAACATTTAACTATCGTTGAGAAATGGTGTTTCACATTCTAACCTTAAGTTTTTTTACAAAAAAAAAAAATTAATCACATACAAATGCCTACACACACTTGCATACCTACCAAGGGTTACCCTTCCACTTGAAAATAAAAGTAACACATGCCCAATATACATACATCCCTTTATCACATGGGCTATAAAACCACGATATCCTTTCCTTAAGAGAGTGTGGGGTGCCATTGAATTGATTCTTGACATTCTAATTTTTTTTTTTTTGGCCAAAAACTAAACATGTATTATTACGCAACAAAATTCATTACACAGATGATAAAAAAACCAATAGTACAAACAAACAGAAAACAAATGAAAGCAGCAAAGCAGAAACTAGCTAATGGGTTTGAAAAAAAATCATGGAGTCGGTAAGACTTTAATCTAGGGGACAAGCAAGCGAAAAAGACCCAATTTGAAAAGCACATCCTTTTTATTGCTGCACGGGCTATCCAATTGGCATCTTTTTTGAGGTGTCTTGGAATCCACTTAAAGTAAACGTAGCTTGGTGATTGACAAAGAGATCAAATATTATCCATGATAGTAAATGAGCTCCAATCAAGAAAAGATTCAACACCATTACTATCATTCAATAGTTGGAGATAGTCAGACAAAATCAAAATATTAGAATATCTACAAAAGCATTTACGCACCTTTGCAAACCCAAAAGCATTATTGAAGCTTCACTGTAGAAAGGCAAAATAGCATCTACAAGGCAACCCATGCTTTTGAAATATTGATTTTAAGGATCTCAAGCTAAGAACCCAACCCTAACCACTTTAGCTTTGCTATCATATGCCCTGCTTGCATTTATTATTGCTTCGTGTTGATCAATATTGATAAAATTGTCAGCATCAATGCACTTGGAGTCTTCATATTGAGCTCTCAGGCTAAGCCCTTTCCAACGATTAGCATCCTGATAAATGTCAAAGTAGCAGAGAGTTGAGTGAATAATCCCTTCAGGCTGCATCACTTGTTTTTCAAAAAATAAAGGAACATTTCGCCTTCCGTATTTGCCATGGAAGAAAAACCAACGTGCATTTAGATTCATCCATCACTTGATCATGTTTAAGCCACTGTAAGAGCCAGACATCAAAGCGGGAAATAGATTCTTCTTCCAACCCTAATTTAAGGGGCTTCCAAACCAAACTAATTTTGTTCTTTCACATAGCAATAGTAAATGGTCAAGGGAGGACATAATGGATTAGAGGAACATTTTCTTTTCCATAAGCTTTCTTGGCATTCTAATCTTAAGTTGGAACATAAGTAAGTTTGCCTCTTGTATTAAAGTTTGTAAAATTGAGATTGAATTAAAAGTCTGTTACTCCAACATGATTTATATTTGGATGTATTTTTAAAAAAATAATTTAATAAATTGACCCAACTTAAGGTTGGAATGAATATATAATTAAGAAGCATTATTCGTAAACACTAAAGAATTGAAATAAATTGATACATGATAAAATATAAAAATGATAATGAAAAATATAATTATTCAAGATTTGCCTCAACTATTGATTTAGTATCTTAGGTTTATTTTCTTATCAATTTAATTTATTAAATTTATATTAATTATTAATTTGGTCCTTATTATTTTAACACTATTAAAATATGTTAACACAAATAATAAAATTTTGATGCCAACCATTTAGGTTAATAAAAAAATTGTAGTTCATTGATTTGAGGGTTAATTTATTCTCATTTAGCTATATATACCAAATTATTAACATACTTTACATATTAAGTTAATTTAATAATTTATTTGTATTTTAAATTTAAAAGAAAATTGTGATAATTTAAAGGAAAAATTAATTTTTCAAGTCCATATTGTTTCCCCCAATTTTAAATTAGGTATTTATAGTTTATTTTATTGAGGCTCTTCTAATTTGATTCATTAGATTTATTAATCCCAAAATTTAAAATCCTTGAATTTTTTATTTTAAAAATAAAAATTAAATTAAATTAAAAAACTTTATGCTCATAATTTTAAAATTAAGTTGACAATTTTTATAACTTCAAAATTTATATAATTAAGTTAGATGTTCCACATAATTATATATATATATAGAAGTTTAATAAAAAATTTAATGAAAATGTAAACATTGAACTAAATAAAAAATTTTGTCTAAATTTATGAAATAAAACTTTCTATAAACTTTAAAAATATTTTTATTTTGAAAAAATTAATCATTCATGAATAATTTTAACTCTCAGATATTAACATACCAAACCAAATAAGCTACAAGGACATGATTAAAATAAAAATAAGTTACAAAGACTTGATTCAAAATTAAGAAAAATTATAAAGACTTGCTGATTAATTTTGTTAATTTAAGAAAATAAGGAATTGAATAATAAAAATTGAATTTAAAGGATGAAATTAATAATTAAGATATATGTAAAAACTAAAACTTTTAAAAAGAATTGGCCCCTAGCACTCTTAATTGTGATGATTATAGGTGTTGAAACTTATACCTATCCTGATCAGTCTAATTTCATTATGATCATATCGAAATGGATCTTTCTTAGCCCTACAAAAAAGTGAGATGAGACTTTGCGAACTAGGATAAAACATAGTATTGCCCTCAAGAACATCCCATCTCAAATATTATATATATTATTTTGTATTTAAAAAAATATGTATTAAATATATTAATTATATTAATATAATTTATTCATATATTAATAAAAAAATTATTTATAATTTCAATGCTTACAATCCCCATTCAAAATTAAAAGTTCTTCACATTGATAATTTTAATGACATAAAGCAATTAGTATGAAGTAACTTTTTTTTTTACAATATATTAATTATATTAATATAATTTATTTTTATATTTATCTATTTAATAATTTTAATTGAGATATTCAAATATCTAAACTAAAAAAAATAACAATGTTTTGATGTTATACTTGGTTTGTCTATTGCTCTTGTTTTTGTAGTATGGAGGTCACTTGTAAATGTTGGCATGTCTTATGTTTCATGCAAACTTGATTTTAAGTTATATATTTATAGTTGTAATTGATATAACTTAATAATTGACTTTAAATCATTGTAATTTATGTATTTATATTATTTTGATTTTAAATTTAACAAGTTATGTAATTTAATATTTTAATAAATATTGATATCCAAGTCGTTCTTTTTTGTTATCCGCTTTATAGGAAAATTTCGATCTCGTTTTAGTTCCATTTCAATTTTTAATATGATGGGACGACTTTTGAAACAGGATGAAACACCAAACCAAAATTTAGTCCCATCATTTTTCAAAATAGGACACAGAACAATGGTATCCTAATCTAATCTTGTCCCATAATCACCCCTAAGCAATGATATCTCAACCAAAAAAAAAATTGAAAGGATATCTTGATATTAAAAAAATAAAAAAAATTAATCACTTAGTCCATGTTGTTTTAATATAGTTATAATTTAGTATTTGAACTTTAGCTTATTATAACTTAATTCTTATAATTTTAACTTAATTATAACTCAATCATTGAAAATAAATTTTAAAGATTAAAATTATTTTAAAATTTAAGGACTAATATTTTAAAATTGCTAAAAAGTTTAATCTTTGTAAGGTTTAAAAATATTAAACTTGATAATTTTATTTGTTAAAGTATATTCCCTCCGTTTAAAAATGTAAAGCATTTTTAACCAAATCTCACTTTTAATAAAGTAGTTACATACTTGTAAACTAATCCTATCTTTTTATAGATATCCTTATTAAATATTCTATAATAAATATTAATTCATTATTAATAAGGGTGTTTTTAAAAAAAGGTAATGATCATACCTCAAAAAATTAAAAATGCTTTATATTTTTTAATATCAAACTCCTTAAAAAATGATTTACATTTTTAAATGTAAGAAGTAGTGATCAATATTTTAAATTTTTAAAATTATAAAGATTAAATTGTATTGAATTAAAATTTGATAACTAAACTATAATTAAATTAAAATTAAGAAGATTGAGTTATAATGAACTGAAGATTAAACATCAATTCACTATTAAGTTAAAATTATAGGATTAAATAATTCATTTTTTTTCAAAAACGAAAAACTCTATAATTTTGCTCAACCAGGGAAGCAAAAAGGGTAAAATTTTGTCCGGTGATTGTCTTCCCTATCCATAGATTCTCTGTTCACTCGCCAGGTCTGGTCGAGTTTCAGTGCGCACGGTCACTCAGTGGACCCCGCGGAGTCCCCGGCAAGAGCATTTACGATCAATTTGTCAATTTTTGTGAGATTAACTTCCTCGTAGTTATAAATCGCGTGATTTCCAAGCGTTTGGCCGAGAAATTCTATTGAACAAGATCGGTGAAACAAGAACGATGGTAGCCTCTGGCAAGGTAATCCTTCTTCTTTTTTGTTTGTCTGCTTCGAAAGTTTGTTTCCTTTCCTTTTTCTTTCGCATGAATTCTTTAAGTGGATATCATGTATGACAAGTTATTGAGCCTTAGAGAGAGCTCTGTGCTAGATGTTGTAGACTTTGATCTTTCGTGGGGTTTATGGTTATAGAGAAAGGATTCATTTTCTTATATGAATTTTGAAGCAAAGTAGATGAACGTCTCTTAAATTGTATGGAGTCTGAAAAAGTAGCTGCAATTTTCGTTGCACTCTTCATTGCCTTTTAGGAGTGCAGTTTATTGATTTTTTTTTTTATATTTTATATTGATATCGATGATCTTTGAAGATGATTGAGGTATATGGTGGGGTAGAACAAATCTGTTGCATTTATTTGTTGTTCGACCTTGATTAATATGGAATCCTGGATAAAAATTTGTCAAATAGTCGGAGGATGTTATGTGTTAAGACTCTAGTGTTTAAATTTTGATCCTTACTCTTCTTCTGGCCATATGTGTTATGAGCTGGTTGAACTTAAGAGTCTAGGCTTTGTTTAATCTCTCTCAATTGAGTTTTCTTTACATGTTGTTTTGGGAATAATTAGATGCATCTGATTGTATCTTAATCTCCAATTTACAGAGAATTGTGTCGATGGTATTTACAAGTAGATCCATTTTTTTCCTTCCGAGTCCTGTCCATAAACTTGGTCAGCCTGATTATATCAGGAATTCTTTATTTGCTTGATTTGAAATGGATCATTGACCAAGCTGCAGTATGCGTTGCATTTTGCTAATGTTCATCTTCTACTCAAATTGTTCGCATGAAGCACAGTATTCCCTTTTTGGGTTGTGTGAGTTCATCACTCAAAGTTGAAAATAAGAAGATTAATTTTTCACAGGATTCCCGGGAGGAAGTCATCCAAGCATGGTACATGGACGATAGTGATGAAGATCAAAGATTGCCTCATCACAAAGAACCCAAGGAGTTTGTGTCTTTGGACCGGCTCACTGGTAAGCACCTGTGGAGCATGTTTTTGTTTTATAAATAAACTGTTTGAGCAGTTCGCACTAGCTCCTTGGGCTTTTGTGTTAATATTGCAGAACTTGGAGTTCTTAGCTGGCGATTGGATGCTGATAATCATGAAACAGATCCTGAACTGAAAAAAATTCGGGAAGAACGTGGCTACTCCTACGAGGTTTGTTATCCTGAACTGAAAAAAGTAGCTCGCATAGTTATGACTAGCTTTGGGAATAATGTTTGTGGAGTTATGGCATGATATTGATGTGTGCCAGTGATTTTGAAATTCAAAATGAGGTGTTTCTGCTGCCATATCTCTTCAATGCTTCATCCCAACATTCTGTCTAGCTTTACGCTTTCACTATAGCCTGAGCAGAGAACCTTTTCTGCAGGATGTTTGTGAGGTTTGCCCAGAAAAGTTGCCAAATTATGAAGAGAAGATCAAAAGCTTTTTTGAAGAACATCTTCACACTGATGAGGAGATCCGTTATTGTGTTGCTGGAAGTGGTATGTGCAGATATTTGTGCTTTCCATTGATGCTTTTGTATGAACTGTGTACTGAATGATTGATACAGTTGCTAAGTCTTCATTCTTTTCTTTAAAGGTTATTTTGATGTCAGGGATCACAATGATGCTTGGATTCGTGTGTGGGTAAAGAAGGGAGGAATGATCATCTTACCTGCTGGAATGTATCATCGGTTTACTCTCGATGAGGGAAACTACATCAAGGTCTTGATTCATACACATAGCCATAGCATAGTTTTAGTACATTTCCAACATGAGATCTTGTCCCCTTTTAATGTCTGATTTGAACAGCATATTTTAGATATTCGCACTTTATTTCTTCGGTTTGATTGCCTTCTTATCTCATCATCGAGAAAGGATTCTTTTGAAATGTCATTTTGATTGAGGAGACAGTGGAAGAGCTGCTGATATCTTTATGCATTTTCATTGCAAATAAACTTGAGTTCATGGCTAATTATAAATATGCAGGCTCTTCGATTTTTTGTTGGTGAACCGGTTTGGACTCCCTACAATCGCCCACATGATCACCTGCCTGCAAGGTAAGTGTATACTCCCTGCTCTCTCTATCTTTCTATAAAAGGTATTTTTAACTAAATTTTTCATATCCATAAAAGTTTGTTATTTAGTTAAAAACACATAAAACCACAGCAGTTTTTCAATTTTGCCTCTAATAATGTTAGAAGAATCATAAAGGAAAATTTGGATGGCTCATCAACCAATGAAGTAATGAGTATGGCTATCTTATTAAAACCACCTCTGACAATCCTCTTCAAAGATAGACCAATGGGAGAACAAGTTTCTGCACCTTACTGGTTGGTTTCGATTTTCAGAGGGTGGTAGGTGAAGCACACTGTTAGTATCTCCTCCTCTTTCATAGAAGACAATAAAGGCAAAATTGTTCAGTTATTCAAAAATATCATGACATCTTTTATATTTAGAAACAAAATAAACTTATAAAAAACACTTATATATAAGGGCAGAAGGAGTATATTAACTTTGAGCGGTATAAACTCAAAGATTATTTTTAGGAAATTTTATGGAGACTTATTATGTGAGCTTGATGTGCAGAAAGGAATATATTGAGACTTTCGTGAACAAGGATGCCACCAACCATGCTGTTGATGCAACTGCCTAAGATCTTGTTTTGCTAAGATTAGCAAGGAATTAATGGGACTGACTCATGTTTCGCCCTAGACCGGAAAGGCCAATAAGAAAAAGGGTCGTTAAATAAAGATACTTATTAATGCTGTCTAGTCTGAGTCTGAGGGACATTTTACTTTGTTGCTATGTATAGCATAAACTTCATGCCACTGGTATGTTATATGGGAAAATTTGAAGTCCAATTAGTGGTTACAGGAAACAGAACAATAGACTTAGTCATGATGTTATGTTTTGTCGTAGCAGATTGTTTACTTTGGAAGATTTCTACATTCACTAGTGCGAAACTGTGAATGCTTATAGTTGGTGAGCATTCATAGTGAAAGAGAAAAAAATAATTGGTATAGAAATGATGTGCGTTTTATATGTAGTCAAATTTTTGTGTCTGTCTCTTTAAAGGTATAAATGCCAATGCATGAATGTCTAAACATAGATAATAATGATACTCCTTTTAGTACAAGACATTGCTCCTTGGTTCTTGTTATTAGGGTTTTTGTAAGTTGTGTATTTTTTTTTAGTTAATTTAAATTGATTCTTAATTTATACGAAGTTATTTATTAACACGCCCTTATAGTAAAGACCAATAGATAGAGTCTCATTTTGTCTCTCCGAGAGCATTCGATAAAATTGGAATTGGAATGATACACAAAAGATTACTATGGTTTCTTTATGAAGATGGCATGTACAAATCGACAGAGTTTCACTTCTTTTAGTCAAGACACAGTTCAATTTTAAAACAGTATTGTTGGAAATAATACCTATTTCTGAAATGCGCATTCAGCAATTATGTTTTATTGTATCGTTCGTCAGGGATTTGGAAGTCTAAGGATGGACTTGTAGAAGAGATACATGTAAAATAATTTGTTTAATAACTCATTCTCAATGCATTTATATTTGCTTTTATAATTGACTTTACTTTCAATTTACAGTTGTAATTTATTCATGGGAAAAATGAGGCGAAGTTGACCAAATGTTTGTTAGTAGCTTTTTATAATAAAATACTTCCAATGTGTAAATGGCAAATAGGTACCGCCGTTGTTTTAAAAAATTGGCCTATATCGGACTGTCAAATTAGTTGGATTGTTGATCAAATCTATCAACGGCTCATTTTTTATCAAAAAATTATTTTTATAATTGAGCAGATTGAATTGAAATTGAGTTACTATTAAGGTGGAAGCCAAAGTTGAATTGGGAACTGGAACGGCTTTCAAAAAATAAATATTTTTAAACATAATCTTAAAAAAAAGCTTAAAGAATTTGAAAAAACTAAAATTTAAAAATTAGATTATATTAAAAGTCAACTTTATTTTTGAATAATTTACGTGTATAAAATATGATTTGAGATCTTTTTTATTATTATAAAGATATTGACAGTTATAAGTATAAATGCAAATATTTTTAATTCTACTCATATGTAATTTAATCAAAATTCACCTGTATTTAACAAGTTATAAAATTATAATTTATAATATTATTAATTTATAATCATATTATCTCATTTTATTAATATATGATATATTTTTTTATATTTATTATATATATGTATATATATTTTTAATATTGTTTTTATTTAATTATTATACCGTCTGACAATTGTTATACTATAAAAATCAAGAATGGTTGACTTTTTCAATATAATTATGTCTGGTCCGGCTTTAAAACATTGTGTACCAGAAATTATGATAATTATTATTTAGTCCTTAGGACTTGTTTTACATTTAAATTTCACATACTTGCCCTTAAAGTGAGTCCTGCATTCAAAAGTCAAAATCCGGCAGAGGAAGCTACTGGATATTACTACCCACTCTACTTCATCCCATATCATCTCTAAAAATCAATCAAAGTTTGAGTTCTTGATTCTCTTTCTGTAGTAGAAAATAAGCTCTTTTTTTTTGTTTTTTTTTTTTTTTACTTTGAAGTTCTCATTCTCAACCTAGTCCTCGTCCCTTTATTCTCATGTCATTTGGGTCTTCCTTCATCCTCCGCCACTATCGCCGCCGCCGCCGCAGCAGCTACCCCACTCTCAGCCTTCGGCAATCTTCGTGGCCGCTACTCGATTGCTGCCGAGCAGCAAAACCCACAGCGTCTCTAATAAGAAACTGCAAGAAAGACAAAGCGAGTAACAAGAATCTCTTCTCAAAGCAAAACACACATTCAAGGCCATCGGTTTCATTGCCGCTTCTCATGCCCAATTTAATGCTCGTTATCGTCCCATCTCTCTCCTCATCAGAATTCAAACCTTTCGAAGGTCCCAATGAGCGTCTTGAACAATCAATCCAAGAGCCACGATTGCTGCAAATAGTAGGGCAGTGGCCTCCAACTTTGTCGGTAAATCAGTCTTTTATTTCCAGAAAGGTAAAATAGTCTTCACACGTTAAAATTAATTAACAGACAAATTCAAATAAATTAAAAAATAATTATTACATTTTGTAATATTTAGTTATTATTTAAATATTTTAATAGTATTTTTTTTATTATCAGTCTTCCTTCTAAAACTGGAAAAACAACAAAAAAAAGGTGAAAAGCCTAATGTCACGGGATCATTACCCTCTCCCCAAAAAGCGAACTTAATGAAGTGTGCAGTATACCTGTTTATATAATTAAAATCCTCCCCAAACCTCTTTCATGTGAAACATGACAGCTTTCCCACCAATCCGTGGCACCTCCATCACAAGTGGCTGACCAAAGGGGCTCATTACTTGGGCAAATTTAGGTCTGATTTTGATATCATTTTATCACGAGGCCATCATCCTTTCTCTAAAAAGTTAGCTTAATAGAGTCTGTAGTATACTTACTTATATAGTCAAGATTCTTTTCAAAACTCTTTGATGAAGGGCATGACATTAAGAAGACCTAGAACTTTTTCGAAATAGCAATAGCAATGGTAGTTTGGACTTTTGATAATATAAATACATATATCAATTTAAAATTATTCATAAATTTTATATATATACCAAATATATTTTTAAACTCAATCATATTCCAATTCTAATTTCTTCTTCTTTTATATTCCAATTCCATAAAGAAATACTTCTATCATACCAAGCTATTACCAATTACCCAACGTGTTTTTAGAATATGTTTGAAAACATATAATGAAACAGAAACAAATGGTTGTTAATGGAATGAAATGAGATAGAGTAAGGTGGAATGTAATGAAATAGAACATTTCATTATTTAAAAATTTTATTAGGAGAATGAATAGTTTTATTTAATAATTATTATAAAATTAATAGATTTAAATTAGATATATTTATGATTTTCAATTTCAATATTAGAAATGAAAGAGAGGGGTAAGAAGGATGATGATAATTTCACAATAATGTTATTAATTTATATCAGACCATCTCATCCTCAACCATCTAAATCGGGAGTCACAAAAAAAAAAAAAATGGGCTTAGGATGACTAAAAAGATCATCCCAAGCCATTTTCACTTCATTTTTAAAAATTGTCTCAAGTGATGGTATAGAATTTTTAACTATCCTACTTCAATTCATTCCATATTAAAAAAAGAATCTCAAGTAATACCTTATTGCCTGATCATGTCTTTGTTTTTTTATAAAAAAAAAAAATGGGGCAATGCCCATATTCCTTTATTTAATTAATAATAGAACTACGGCTGCTAAGACCCTTTACGTCTCAATGTAACCACTGAATAAGCTTTGAAGGAGAATCCTTCCTAATTTTACACTTATGTCCTTAATTAAAGCTAGATTTAGCAAGTTAATCAATACATTTATTGCTTTCTCTATATATGTGTCTAACTATAACATGCCAATCATTATCAATGAAATTAAAAATTTGATGCACCTGCCACTGTTAAACATCGTTACTGTCACATGCCTCTTGATAAGATTTGACCACCAAAGAAGTGTCACACTTTCACAATAATCTTTTTCAAATTAAGTTCGCAAGCAACTTTAAACCCATAATAGATGCCCTAAAATTCAGCTTCCTTAGGCGTGCTAATGCCTAAACTGCACATAAAACAGCCCATTCTCCTATTTCATTTTGAAATATTCTTCCACAGCTTGCTAGATCGAGATTGCCTTTGGTTGCATCATCTATGTTAAGTTTAACCCAATCCTAAGGGGGAGATTCCTGTGTTATCCTACTGCTTATACTCGAATGCTTCTTATTATCCAAGTTTGATTGCACTGTGTTAGCAAAGAGGCAAACTCATTCTTTGAGCCCTATAATGTTCATGTCCTCCTTCTTAAAAATTCTATCATTTTTTTTTTTTGCTTGCCAGATGTTGCAATTTGTAACAGCAAAAAGAATATCCCAACCAATCTTGAAATACCTATTCGTATTTTGGAGGTTCCAGCTAAACAAATCTTGTTTATTCAAAACAAAAAATGTGATCTTCTATCACCACTGGAAGAAGCGTCCTCCAAATCTCCTTAGCTTTAGAACAATCCCTTAGAACATGCATAACATTTTCAGTTTCATTAAGACATATTTCACAACTGCTACATACACTAAATATTATGTTTCTCCTCTTTGCCGTCATGATTCTTTCATGCATAGCCAATCACAACGACTTGCACTCTTATAGGCCCTTTCCATTTTTAAATATGTTGCCAAACCTGTTCATTCCTTCTCCTGTTATCCTAGTTTAAAGCTTCGTACATTGATGAGATAGAGAAATAATTATTTGTCATAAGACCCCAACCAAACTTGTCTTTGTTGTCAAATTTGAGAGCAATGGTATATTCTACTTCCCATCAGCATCAACAACATCAGCCACCTTCATGTTAATAAATTCAGGAGGGACCTGTTGAATGCAACAATCATTCAAAACACCACCATGAATAAGCCACTTCTCCTTCCAGAAAAGGACTCTTGTGCCATTATGACTTTCCATTGAAGGTGATTGACCACATTTGGCCACAAATCACTGATAATGTCTTAAATAAGATTATTTTTAATAAGATATAGGTAAACAATAAAAAAAAACAGACGTAAGCTAAAAAAAATGCAGCAAGCGATCATAGACTTTTGGAGCACGAGGCCTAATTATTTGATGCTAAAGTTTGAATCAAACAAAAAGCCGAAAATAAAAAAAAAATGATAAAAAGGCCAAGACTTATGGGGCCACGTCATTCACCTCCTGATCGGATTGGCTGATTGCTTTTGAATTGTCATGGTTGTATAATTGGGATATTCTATGCCCTTCTACACTCCTCCACATTCCACCCTCACTTTGTCACTTTGCTGTAATATTATTATTTTTTATAATAAAACTTATACTCAACTTTATCTCAATTATTTTGACTTTTTGAATTTATTTTTTATTAATATAATCTCATGAATTTACTTCAATTATTAATTTAATTCTTATTATTTAAAATTAAGTAAGACTGTTAAAATTTATTAACATGATAATGATATATTGATAGAAATCATGTAAATTAATTAAAAGAAGTGTATTACTTGGGTAGGAAGAGACATATTAAAATTTTTAAAAAGCAAAAAAAACACAATTTATGGGATTAAATTGTTAAAAATTAAAAAAAATAATTTAATTCTCATTTAACTGTATATGTGTTAGGTTATTAATATACTTTACAATTTATACATTAAATTAATTTTTGTTTTGAAATTTAAAAGGATAGTATAATAATTTTAAAAAGAAAATATAATGTTTTATATTAATAAAAATTAAATTGATAATTAAAATAAATTTAAAACGTTAAAAACTTTACACATTTTATTAAAAAATGAAAGGCATTTTTAACTAAATTTTACTCTCCATTAAAATAGTTATTTACTTTTAAATTAACTTTATTTTTTTATATTTATTCTTATTAAATATCATGCAATAAATATAAAGTAATTATTAATAAAAAATAAAAAATAATAATAATTATATTTTAAAAGATTGAAAATATTTTATATTTTTAAATATTTAATTTTTAAAAATATATTTTTAAGAGAGAGAATATTATAATTTGGTTATATTGGGGCTCAGTAGGTATGATGCATTGTTTGAAATTTGGTGCACTTTTTGGAGGGGTTCTGGAGTCGAGCGCAAGCGTAGTTACACGTGTCGGGCTCTGGTGGTGACACAAAAAAGAAAAGTCTTTTCCCACAGCAGACATCAGGCAGCAGTGTTTGTTGACGTGTCTGCTTTTTTTAAAAAAACGAACATACTTTTATTTCTTACATTTTTCTTATATTTTATTATAAATTTTTATTTTTTTAATATTTTAAATTTTTAAATTTTTATTTTTTAATATTTTAAATTTTTAAATGAATAAAATAAATAAAATGTAAGGATTTTAAATAAATATAAAATATTAAAAATGAAAGTACAGAAAGTTAAAATATTAAAAAAATTACAGAAATTTATAATAAAATATGAGTAAATTGTAGGAATTAAAAATAATTTTTTTTTTTGGTCAGGTTGACGTGTCTGCTATTGAGTGAAGCTTCCGACCAACGCGCTCCTATTCCTATTCTTCTTCCTTGGATAAGAATATGCTTTCCACACTCACGCTCTATCATGTGTCACCTGCTTCCCAAATGTCGGCAGTCCTTTATTTTAGATCTTCAACGTCTATGGCATTTTTTACTGCATCCTTACTCTCTTTCCTCTCACAAAAAATTCAATCATTACTACATATTTAAAACTTAAAATTTAAGATCTTTGTTTAAGTTAGATTAACACCTCTTAATCAATACTTGTTAATTTCTCACTCCATTCTTTCACAATTAGCTCATTATAAAAGGGTTGGGGTTTCTTTTTCTTTTAATACAAGTCATGAATAATATCATCCAAAGTAAAGCAATTAATGTAAATTAAAAAAAAATCACGACACTCTTAATGGGGGATTGTTGATATATAATCTTTAAAGTGGTATAATCCTGATAAGCTGTTAGGTAAGATAATCTATGCATTTATTAGCTTTTTGTAGATATAATCAAAAGAGGTAATTTTGTAATTTTAAATTTTTTATAAATCTCTATTATTTTTAATTTCAATGGAGGCTTCTCTCTTCCGTTGCATTCATTTGTCAACTTTACTACTTTATTGACTTGGACATCATTGCCTTCAACCAACATCCATTAGGATCAAACCACCGACATCAGCTAGGATCAGAATGCCGACGTCAACCAAGATCGAACCATCAGCGTTGACCAAGACTTGATCGTCGACACTGACAGGGATCGAACCATTGACACCAGCTAGGATTGGATGGTTGACTTTGATTAAGATTGCACATATGGCATCAATTAGGATCAGATCGTTGTCTTTTAATGGGATTGGACTGCCAACTCTAATTGGGACCTAACTGCTGGCACTGACTAGGATCGAACAATTGGTGATGATTAAGACCACACAATTAGAGTTGATCGGGATTAGAAGACCAAAGCCAACTAGGATCAGTCGTGATCAACACTAGACCGATGGTTGTGATTGGGACCGAACAACTGGCGTCGACTGGGATCATAGGGCTGGAGCTGACTAGGATTATACCATTGGTGATGATCAGGACTTGATGGCCAGTTGTGATCAGGACCAAACAACTGGCTTTGATTAGGATTGGAAGGCTGAAACCGACCTGGAACGAACCATTGGTTGTGATCGAGATTGGACTACTAAGGCCAACAGGGAGTAGATAGTTGGTGATGATCGTGACTGCACAACCAAAACTGATTGGGGCCATATTGTCGGGATTGGAGTGTTGGTGTTGACCAACAGTTGATCATTGGCGCAGTCTGGGATCGATCTATGATCACCATCTTCAACTCGTCTACTTTCGTTGTCAAGCACCAAACACCACTATTAACAAGGAATGTTATGGCATCATCATCCAAGTCCAATCCATAGCCCTCGAACTGCTGTAATTGTCCCGTGCTAATTTATAAGCATTGTTTAGGATCGAGTCCCCTATATTGACCATGATCAAACTACACGACTGATTGATGCTAGACTAATAGCATTATTTAGGTTTAGATAGTTGGAGTCAACTGATTTAGATAGACCACCGACTTTGGTGAAGATCAAACAACTAATATTGTCCGAGTTGCCTTTAAATTCAAACATATAATTTAAATTTTGAAATTTTATTTGAGATTTAAATAAAGGTTTTTAATTTTATAATATGAAAACTTTTATATCATCCAAACAAAAAATTTAAAATATATGCATTTTAAATATGAGATTTTAAATTCAAATTTTCAACCCAAATCCACCCATCCCAATGCAACCTAAGCTCTTTTAGAATCGTCGAGAGTTTAGTAGCAATACATTAATGATATTCAAGATATTTAATAAAACCTTTAAGGCACTTTCCATAGTCATCTTGAATAAGGTTACCATATGCAGCAACATTGTTCTGTGATCTGTCTCACAAAGCTATCAACATCCAATTTAACTCAACCCAACAATTAGTAGCAACATTTTTGTAAAATATTGTGTGTGATAAGATAGAGATGTATGAGAAGTTAAAGCAAAAATTCAAGATTTTTATGTTTTAGGGTAAATATATACATTTGAACAATAAGCATGTTGAATATATTTGCTATATAATTATCAAAATAAACGCTCAAAATATCTTTGAGATAGCGTGAAAGAAAAACAAAACAAGTATAATAACTTAGTTGTAATAACAAAAAATAAACACCTTGACTAAAAAGACAAGAAATAAGCATAAATACAAAAAATAATAATTAGATTTCAAAACACTCCAAGATATATATATATATATATATATATAAACTATAAATAATTATTATAATTGAAACGGGAGTTTCAGACTCATCACCAAAAGCGATAAGTTCACACACACACACACAAGTCATTATTTTTTAAATTAAAATGGTCTCTTAAGATGGCAACCTTTCAAATAAAAGTGTCAATCTTGATTTTGATATATGAGAATGAAACGGCAAAAGGGCTTTGGTCTAAAATGGAAATGGTGTCCACAGGCAGCACAGTGGGATCCACTCTCAATAACTTTCTTTCATCACTTTATCACTGAAATTTCAGGACCATCTGACAACTCATTCCCCTTCATTTCCATAACTGGAATCACCAATTTCCCTTGAAACAAGGAAGCCTATCAAAAATGGCAACGACATTGTTTTCTTTACAAGGGACGATAATATTTAATATTATTTTCATTCTATTTTAATATGATTATAAAAATAATTAAATACTACATAAAAAGTCAACTTCAGTAAATAATACCAATATTTCTATCACAAATTAATTGTTATATATTAAAATAAAATTAAAGAAAATATATTTTTTGCCTTTGAATGTTTCTTCAATTTTCAATTCAATTTTTAAAATTTAAATTAGAATAACTTTGTTCATATTCTTTTTTTATTCAAAATAATTAAGTTCTTATAATATTTTGACTTGATGTAATCCAATTCATATAACCCAGTGGGTAGGGGAGAGAGAGAGTAAAATTTAAAAAAATTATACATTAGATCTTATTTTTAAAAAAAGTAATAGATATTTATTTTAATTTAACAGTGAAGGTAAAATTACTTAACTTTAATTATTCAGGATTTAAAATATACCAATATAAATTTAGGTTTAAATTACTTTTAAATTTATAGTTTAATATTTAAATTATATATTAACTCCTTTTTTTATTAAAAAAAGAAAAGAGGATAGTGGGTTTTGTCATTTGTGGGGCATTACAGTTACACTTTCCCAAAAGAGAAAGAAAACATTGGAAAGAGAAAAATATCTCAGTGTCCTATTGAAGCTGCATCGATATGATTTTTCTTGTACTTTACTATCCCCGTAAAGTAAAATTGAATGAAATGAAATGAAATGAGAAGAAAATAATGTTCCACATGGCCTCTTTTATTTATATATTGCACAAAACCCAGCCCCCACCTTCCTCCTCTCTCACTCAACACCAAACTTTGATAATAAAAACCATCAATCAACATTCTCTATTCACTAAGCCCCCCCCCCCTTCCTTCTTCTTACATTTATCACTCAGGGATCTTTTGTCAGTAACCTTACGTGACTACTTTAAAACCATCTCACTCACGACCTGTAGCTAGGTTGGTAAAGCCGATCATAGCTCTTGACTTCTCTTCTTTCTCAACCTTAATATCAAAATCTGACCCGAACCCATTTTTTTGTTACCGAAAAAGAAACGGAGCCAGATCCGAATACTGTGATTATGAATCGTCGAGTGAAGGAGGAGATTGTGGAGTCAAGTATGGCTGCTCCTCTGCCGCAGCCAATGGAAGGGCTCCACGAAGCTGGTCCTCCGCCGTTTCTGACAAAAACATACGACATCGTCGACGATGCTTCCACCAACCACATCGTTTCGTGGAGCCGTGGTAACAATAGCTTCGTTGTCTGGGATCCACAGTCCTTCTCCATGAGCCTCCTTCCTAGATTCTTCAAACACAACAATTTCTCCAGCTTCGTCAGACAGCTTAACACCTATGTGAGTACTGAATCTTTTAATTATTCCTTTGATATGTGAGAGATTTTTGCTTTGTTCTCTTTTGGGTTTCTTTTCTTAGATTCAACAATCAAAGTTTGAAGCTGTAATATCTTAGCTTGGTCCTTCTGTTATTTTTAGGAGTAGGTTTATTGATTTTGGTGTTGTTGATCGCTACTGTGATGATGCAGTAATATTGCTGAAATTAATTAATGGGATTAATAATTTGGTTTCAAGTTGTGATTTATTTTTTCAATCTGGATCTCTTTTAGATGCAATGGGAGTATATGAAACTGCAAAAAATCTTATCTTCAGTCACATTCTTGAAGAAGCTAGAAGCTGGATACATTATTGTATTATTCTGCTATATATCTTTTTTTTTATTCTTTTTTTAATCTCTTATCGTCTACTTTTAATGATAGTTATTGGTCCCATCTTTATATATATATATATATATATATTTGTTTATTCAGCCTTTTCCAGATTGTTTACACATATAATGTTTGCTTAATGTCTTTGAACAGGTACATAATTTACAATTTAAAAAGCTTTACTTCATGCACTCCCGTTATAATCATTATCTTTCAGAGAACTTGGATCTTGATTTGATGTGTTTTTAAATTCTCCCAGAAGGGTTACTGTATATGCTTCTGCAGGAATAGTGAGATTAATTTTGTGTGAATACGTCTTCCCCCCCCCCCCCCAAAAAAAAAATTATGGCCCTTCATATTTGAACTTAACTATCTATGTACCTTTACAAGTTGAGGTCTTTGAACTGATGAAATTAAGGTAATCAAAGAGAAATCTTATTCAAATTAAACACTTCTTTGATTTAGCTAGATTCAAGTTTTATTTTCTCTGTCTCCCTCAATTTTCATTCATTCTATTCAATCAAAGTCTTTTATCAAATTCACATCAATTGATAAAATACATAAGAAATTAAAACTTCACTATATATCTCCCATCTTCATTCATTTTGCTCAATCTATATATATATATATATACACCCTCATATATATAGGGTTTCATCAAAGACCAGCCTATTCTTACATAACATTGTCACTGAGATATTTATATGCACTTCATAACATGAAGAGAAACGTGATGTGTTTCAATGTTACTTATATCTGATATAGAATTCAGATATTCTCAGCCAATAAATATATATATATATATATATATATGCAGCCTCTCTAGCTAGCCATCTGTGATCTGATCCATTAATTAGTTTGATTCAACAATTAACAATGAACCAGACCTACAATGAATCCAACGGGTCATATCACAGAGAGAGGAGAGATACTTCATGATCTTTTTTTTTTTTTTTAAAGGAGAGGACATGAGTATCAAACACATTTTTTAGAAAGATTTTATGGACTTGAAAGTGATAAAGAAGATATTTCATATGCCTTCATATCTTGTTATAGGGATTCAGAAAGGTTGATCCAGATAGGTGGGAATTTGCCAATGAAGGATTTCTCAGAGGACAAAAGCATCTTCTGAAGAACATAAGGAGAAGGAAAACACCTCAACATCATCATCCAGCTCTCCTACACCAACAAGCCCTAGATCCATGTGTGGAAGTAGGCCGGTTTGGACTCGACGGAGAGATCAACCGGCTCAGGCGAGACAAGCAGGTGCTCATGCTAGAACTGGTGAAACTCAGACAACAACAACAGAATACCAAAACCTACCTTCAACAAATGGAAGGTAGGCTCAAGAGAACTGAACAGAAGCAACAACAGATGATGAACTTCTTAGCAAGAGCAATGCAAAACCCTAACTTCGTCCAGCAATTAGTTCAGCAGAAAGAATGGAAGAAGGAGCTTGAAGAAGCAATTTCAAAGAAGAGAAGAAGAACTATAGATCAAGGACCTAGTAGTCATGATAATAATGATAATCTTGAGTTATTAGGTCAATTAGAATCCTCAGACTTCGTTGAAGAACTTGAGACTGATATTATTACTGATCCTGCTGATCATGATGTTGCTGATGAGGATTTGGATTTGATTAAGAAGTTAGAGGAAGAAGATCAACATGCACAACAATTAAATCAACATGATGATGATGATGAGGTCATCCTGGTTGGAAGTGAATGTATTATTAATGGAGAGTCGACACAGATTGACGATGAAGTGTTTTGGCAAGACTTGTTGAACGAGGATGTTGAAGAAGTTATACAAGGTTTCGAGGAAGATGTTGAAGTGTTGGCCGAACAAGTTGGTTATTTAGCCTCTGATCATCATAAGTAAAATAATTACTTCCTGCAAAATATACACTTTGATTTATATTCTGAATTCTGATGATTTCTTCTTCCATGATTAATCCATGCCAACTATTATTAATTTAAATATATATATAATGAAGATGCTATACATATAATCCATCTGTTTTTAAAACGATTAATTTTTTTGGAGATGAGTTTAAACATAGTTTATTGAGAGAAATTAATGGGTTTTGGCTTTGATTTTTTGATGATTGGATTCAATTTTGGTGCAGATTTTTTAGGAGGATGTGCATTGGGTATACTTCTCATCTCAACCCTTCAGTATAATTTAATTTGAATGATATTCTGGTTTTATATAATTTTTTCAATTATTAAACAAGATAATGCTGGTTAGATTCTTCTTGCAGGTTTCTATGCTTCTTTTTCATTAGTTGATGTTTCATGTGCTTTTAGATTGAAGAAAATTAGTAATACATAGTTCATTATATTTTTATTACTAATTTTTTATGAATCAGGAATATGAAAAATGTGCATGTGTGATTTTACAGACGTATGAATAAGTATCTAATTAAATATGCAGTTGTTGCTTTTAAATTAAAAAATTGACATTAAAAATATAACTAAATGTATCTAATTAATTTACTGTCTTTTTTACTATATTGAATAATTCTGATTTCTCTTCCAGTTATAGAGGAATTTCAGATGACATGCGAACCTCTCACATTTTAGATAGTTCTTATTACATAAAAAATTTAGTTTCTAAATGAACTATATACATATACTATAATTTAAATTTTTAAAAGTTGATAAGTGTGTGTATCAATAATCTTTAAAAATGAACTAATTAAATTTTATAATTCATTTGAAATATCTAGATAATTTAATAAAGATATTAAGATCCACACGCATATATACACCTTGAAACTATATTAATATTTAAAAAGTAAATCATGCATGTTGCATAATTAGCAAGATTTCAGAGATTAAAGTTGAATAAACTTCTTAGTTACATAGTTAACTCACTCCTTCAAGTTCGTGAATATCCCTATATATGGCGATTGAGCTCAAAAAATTAATAATTACTTTAGCAGAATGTTGCTCTTTTAGTCCAGTCACAAAATATCTTTGGGTTATATTTAACTATTAATATCAATATTAATATTAATACATATAATATAAAATTTATAAAAATGTACATTATTCATAAGTCATAAGAAAATTAGTATAACATGTGTAATGCATAGAACCATACAGTTATTAATACACATATATGTATCTAAGTGCCTCACCAATCACAACTAATGTTGTTTAATGTGCGTTTGAGGATCCTGCAACTGATACTACTAGAAAAAATAGAATTTACATCACCTTTTCATGTCGGTTATTCAAAAATCAATGTTAAAAAAAGGTGATGACATAGTTGTATAACCAGCATAGAAAATAAGCTTTCTACTTCCTTCTTCTTTAATTTATTGCTCCTTTATAACGACATAAAAAATTTAAAATAATTATTATTAAAAATTCATCCTGCAGTAATGTGAGATTTGTATTGAGATATTATAAAAGTTTTGGTCTATCGTCTTGTTTTAATGAATAACCTTGTTTGGGCTTATTCCAATTTTCTTTTAAAAAAAAAAAAACACGCACGCGCTTCATCGAGGCCATCTTCATGACTAGTTTATCATTGTAAAATATGGGAATAAATTGTTTAAGGTTGAAATTCATAAATTTTTGTAAAGTTTTTTTTAATATCTTCTACATTTTATTTTTTTAAAATATAAAATCTTTTCTTTTTTTAAAAAAGTAAATTTTACATTCACGGATTTTCAATTTTAGAATATCAATTCTCATAAAACATGATTTGGGGTGGGGGGAACTCTTATTTTAAATTTTATGTATTGTATAGAGATCTATCTGATAAGTGAACAAATTACTTCATGCATGAATTTAAAAAATAAGAAATTGATGAAAAATTTAAAATAATTTCAACATAATTTGGATATATATATATATATATATTGTAGAGTAATATCCTATTTATCAACCATTCTATCCCCAATTGGTTGATTCATTAATTCATTCCAAAATCTGTTAGTCTTCTAAACACACATTAGAGGTTGCTTGTATCTCATCATCAAGGAGTGACTTAGCTTTTGCCCTTATATTATGTTATATTATATTAAGTTAATTAATTATTCATGAAATGTGTGATGCGAAATAACCTTTTGGCATGCATAATGCTTCTTTCTCATTCATTCTAACACTTTTCTTCCTCTTTTGATTTTAATAATAATATAATCTAGGAGTTTCCAGACACGAGATGTTTCGTTGAAATTCTAGCAAGGTCTATTAATTTTTAATTAGGTAATAGTATTCAGCTAAATAGAAATAAATGGATCGATAGATTATTCGTATTACCGTAACATTAATCACTGTTCAATGGTTCTACGGTGCATGAGTGATAATGATTCAGTAAGCACTTTTTCCACTATCTGTTCACAATAAAACATAATTTTGTAAATTGGAAAAAATATATATATATATATATATATATATTAGATGGGTTCCCGTCTTTACCGTTTTGAATTTAAAGTAAATTATACATATTTAGTTTTATTTTAAAATATATGCTAGTCTTCTCTAGAGTCTTTATAACATAAAGAGCATGTTTGTGATGATTTGAATGGTCTAGATTTTGATTTGGATGGTTCAAATTTAAAATATTTTTATATATTTTTATTTTATATTTATTAAAATAAAATTATAAAATTATTATAAATTTTTATTTTAATAAATATAATAAAATAATATTTTAAATATGAATCATTCAAATGAAAATATGGAGATTCAGATCTCACCACACCAAATAAGTACAATAGTATTTATTGGTGTGATGAGCATTGAAGTTCAGTCCATATGTGGTGAGAGATCACATATGTGTGTGAAATTTGTACTATTCATTATTTATTTTCATTTAATTTGTATAAGTAAAATTTAAAATGTAAGAAAAGTTATAATTTCAGGATAATACATGTTTGAATCTCTACTAATAGAAATATGAAATTTACTATCTAATGATGCATTGAATAAGATTATCTTTAATAACAAAGTACTCACATACAATGAAAACATTGAGTTAACAAAGCAACATGGGAGGGACAAACATGGAAGTGAGCAAAATTGTGCGGACCAGCAAATACGTGTACATTACTGATCAATGAGGCGCTTAGTATAATTGATTAAAGGAATCAGCTTATTTTGGAGTTTTAAGTTTGAATCTTAATATTTGCAATCATGAGCAGCAAGGCATAATGTCTTTAGATTTTTCAAGATACCAATAATGGAGTGAAAAAATGAAAAATGATAATAAAATTTATCTAAAATATATAAATAATAATTTAGTTTTTTGAAATATCATAATTCTTCTGAAGTCTTTAGGGACTTTTCTGTCATTAATAAATTTATATAAATTATCAAATTATTATTGTTGAAAATAAATGATTCATAAGTTTTATTTAAATATTTACAGCTTTTCTTCTTATTTTCGTAATAATATAATAACAAATTACAACTTTGCATGTTAATTCTTTATTTATTATTGTATTGTTATGAATATTTAAACAAAACTTATAAATTATTTATTTTTAACAAGGATAATTTCATAATTTATATAAATTCATTAATGATATAAAAGTCATTAAAAACTTCAGAGAAATTATGATATTTCGAGAAATTAAATTGTCATTTATACATTTTAGAGGTATTTTATTATCATTTTCTCATAAAAAAACACATATACTCCTTTCGACCTCTATTACAAGACAAGTTCAACTACCTCACCAAAATTAAGGAAAGGTGATTAAATTATTAACTCTTTGAAAATAAAGTCAACTTCAAGTTTTATCCATATTTAAATAATTTTTTTTCAAATTTATGTTGTATTCTCTCTTATAACTAATGAGTTTAAACATGAGAAATATTAAAAAATATAATTAATACTCCATAATATGTTTTACATTAAAAATAAAAAAATATTTCTAGAATATAACTTTATAATAGGGACAGAAGGAAGACAAGGAGTACATCAAATTCTTATGTGTTACTCACCTATTAAGGCTATGTTTGATATCTTAGAATTGTAAGTAAGGAAATGGAGTTAGATATAGAATTGTCTAGTTGACTTGTTTGGTATGCTGGAATTGCTTTCTTGAAGGAATCTGATTCCATCAAAATTGATGGAATCCAATTCCATTGTAGAAGCCATAGAATTGACAAACTTAACATAAAATTGGTTTATGTGTCATTAAAAAAAATAAAATAAAGGGTATTTTAAGCTGTATATTTTTTATTTTTTAATTGCTAAGTTTTTCATTGAAAAAATAAAATAAAAGGTGTTTTATTTTTTTATTTTAAATACATATACTTATTAAAATTATATTATGATTCCATCTTTATACCAAGCACACTTTTAAAATTCAATTCAATTCTAATTCTGATTTCAATTTTAATTCCAATTTCAATTTTAATTTTATTAAAAAATTTTCTATCATATCAAATGAAGCCTAAGAGAGCCGAGCTCATCGAGCTATTTGTCCATTTAAGTACATTTATTTGAAGAATTGAGCCTTCGGTATTATCGATATTAGAAACTTTAATTTTTTTTTAAAAAAAACTCTCTTTTGGTCTTAACCTTGAATCAAATCAATTAGAAGTGGGCTTGGGGGGAAAAAAAAAGAAGAAGAACTAGGCTTGGGAAAAAAAAACCAAAAACTTTGGAATATTACCACTTCTATGAATTTGATCCTTTTAAGTTTTAGGTCCTTAAAAATCCAGCCGGTCTATTTTAATAGGAGTATATACTAATTGAATTCTCGTATGACTCACAGGTCATAACATAGCTAATAATTTTAATTTGTTGGACAGGTAATGCATTTTTCTTAAGGAAGAATGATAGATAAATTACTTTAAAATTAAAAAAAAAAGATAACTTGGTCCTCTGAAATATTATAATGACAGTGAGGTTTTGAGGAATTTATTTAAATTAAATTTTTATGTGAAATTACTTTATAGTACCCTTCTGTGATTTAGAAAGTTATAATTTTTTAAATCATTTTAATC